AAAACGTGTCATGTTTAGTCACTTTAAAAAATTAATATCAATTTTGGTCACTCGAATTAGTAAAATGGTTCATGTTTAGTCACTCTCCTTTAACTTTATCTTATTTGAGAGTCAACCCTAACAGTTAACTGTTAAATGTCTGACGTGACAATTAAAAAATTAATAAAAAATAAATTTAATTATTTTAATATTAAATTTAATTCTTTCAATCCGTCGCCGAGTCCGCCGGAGCTTCCACTCCTAGGCCACCTCCACCTAATCCGGCAGCCAATTCACCGCTCCCTGCAATCCATCTCCGCCAAATACGGAAATATCCTCTCCCTCCGCTTCGGATCCTGTCGCGTCCTCCTGCTCTCCACCCCTTCCGCTGTCGAAGAATGCTACACTACACCGACCACGACCTCGTGTTCGCCAGCCGCCCCACCCTGCTCCTCGGCAAGTACTTCAACTATGACTTCACGACCGTGGTCGTCGCTCCCTACGGCGACCTCTGGCACTCCATCTCGGCTCATCCGTCTTCAGCTACGAGCTCATGCAAAGCTCACGACTCAAGGTTTGAACCTTTGGTTTCGTGGATTAATTGTTGTATATTTATTTGATTCATGAAATTTGGTCGGAGGAGACCTCTCATGGAGCCCTTCACCTTGTCCCACCCCAAAGAACTCGCAACCATCTGCTTCTCAGTTCAATACTCTGCTTCGGTTGTTGTTTTATGGGAGTTTGCTCGCTCAAAGGATTACATCGTCATCTCCAAAGGCCCACGTCTCTGCAACTGAATCTAGTCACCACAAGCCGGCCGCCATCGTTCAGTCGTCTGATTCAGAGGTTCCAGGAAGGCATCGAGAAGTCGTCGCCATCGTCATCAGCGGCCTTGTGGTCTTCCTCCGCACCACCACAGTCACAGCCATCACCGTCTGCAGCACCATCGCCGTCCTCCGCGTCCCATCATCAGCTAGCAGGCAAAAGGCAGAGATGGAGAAGGGGGCAGGGACGGATTCAATCTCCCAATGAAGCAGCGGAACAAATGGACTAGATAAGGTATGGCAGGGAATATAGCTTCTGGTCGTCCGTAACGTTGGTCTCTTTGTCACGATTCTATCTGTGTGTCTCCAGTTCAGCACGAGCAGATTTTTCCTCGTTCGTCAGACGCTCCAATTCCGGGTTCGTGTCTTGGTATTTATTCTCTTCTTGGAATATGGGATTCGTCCAATTGCTTTGTCAAGAATAAGTCTTTTCTTCTTTGCGGCAAAGTCATCTCCAGAAGATTATGTTGTTCGGTTGGATTGATGGGATATTGGAAAGGGGGAACAACTCACATCCACTTCAGCTTTTATCCTCAAGCATCACAAGTTGTCAATAGTGAAGTTCTTCGCCGCTTCTATCATCAGCAACCTACTTTAGTCAAAGGTCCTGTCACCAGTTCAACCATCCGGGTAACGAAGCATTCACGATCCATAAAATGGTCGCCCCCTGGCGTTCAAAAGGTAGTACGATCAAAGAAGTAATCGTCCCTTCATCGTCCAGCTGACATTCACGATTCAAGATATGGTCGTCCCCTCTTCCGGTTCATTATTGAGCAGATATCAACCATTCATCACTTTTCAAGCCGGGCATTCACGATGTTCATGCTCCAGTTTGAGGGGGAGAATAGGAGGTCAACATACATCGACCGACTAACTCAATCATTAGGTCAGCCGCGATGTACCAAGTGTGTTCGAGTTCAAGAGATGCAGTCAACCGTCTCCATCATCAGGTTGTTCAGAGAGAGCATCTGTCGTCTCCAATCAACCTCGTCTGAGATGTTATTCATCTCAAGTTTTGTGGTTCAAGTCATCATGATTGTTCTTCACGTTTACTTCTTCAAGCTCGACATTCTTGTTATTCATGTCTTTGCTTGAGGGGGAGTGTTGCTGTTACTTAAACCGCGTTAGTATTGGGCCTTGTTGGGCCTCGTCTGATTGGTTGGATTATGGTTTTAACCCTACGTCTATATAAGCTTAGCTACGAGATTGTCATAAGCAAGCCGTCACAATGTAGTCGTTCAATAAAATATCAGCCGTGAGCTCTTGCGAGCTCATCGTGGATTAGTCTCGATCAATCAATCGATCGAGAATACCACATAAAATCTTGTGTTCTGTCTGTGTTCTTTTGATATTCCGCATCATCAAATTCTTCACAAGAAGCCGTTTTGAAGGCTATCTCAGGTTTCCTTCTCTTTTCCTGTAAAATGGGGAATGGATCAGGTCAGTAACTTTGTGGTGAGTAACCATGAGTAACCCGTCCACATCAGCATGACATCAGCATCCTCTCTCTCATGGAAAGTCTTTAATTTTTCCCTCTTTAATCTTTGACGGACGATTTCTCGCTCATTTTAAGTCGAAATTTAATTTTTTTTGCACAGTTAGATCAGATTAATTGTGCTCTTCAAAATGATATCCACTTTAATATATTTTTCGAACAAAAAAAATTGAGCCATTTTTTACCAGCCTATACCATATGGTATTGACTGGTATTGAAATAAAAGCATACCTATGTTTTGAAAAAGTACCATGGTGGTATGAACAAACCAATACTGTAGGATGGTTGAATACATGATAGTAGAAATATATTAATTGTAATTTACGACTTTTAACATTGTATACCACACAATACCACCCCGTACTAGGGTGGTATTGTATGGTATTTTTTGGTCCTGTAATTTGTTCACCCAGAAATTTGTAGATCCAATAGATCATGATGAACTCGTCCCTTCTATGCAAACGTTTTCAAAAACGAATTAAAAACGAAGAAGATACCATACAATACCACCCCGTACCAGGGTGGTATTGTATGGTATTGTGTGGTATTTTTTGGTCCTGTAATATGTTCACCCAGAAATTTGTAAATCCAGTAGATCATGATGAACTCATCCCTGCTGTGCAAACGTTTTCAAAAACGAATTAAAAACGAAGAAGATACCATATGGTATGCAGTTGGTACCGAGAGGCCAGAATTTTTTTTCCTAAAAAAATATTGAAAATTGATCTCATTTTGTAGAGCACGGTGAACTCGTTTCATCTGTGCAAAAAAAATTAAAATCCGAGTTAAAACGAAAAAGATATGAGTCAATTAAGAAAACTAGTGAAAATAAAAATAGCCTTTAATTCTCCATCCTTAGATCTGGATTTTCTAAATGAAGGGTCCAGATTTGGTTATTGATGGGTGCATAACCATGGGTTATGCACCCTATCTTGAGCCTGTAAAATGGGCGCTCGGGTTTTTTATAGTTTCTAATATCCTTACGGTTTCCATGGATGGTTTTAGGTAAGCTGGTTTGTGCCAACATGAATGTTGATGTTGTTTGGCAGAGTTATCAAAAAACAGAAGGGAGAGTGGGGCAAACTACGAATGTGGTTATTGGAGGGACAGTAGCCAATGATTCCTCGGAAGAATGACTTGATTTAGATAAAAGAAGGTATGGGAATCCATGAGGCGACTTTCAACGTCATGACGATGGCCACGTTGGGTAAGCGGTTAGGGATGACAAAAATATCCGCAACCATGGATATCCTCCTGAATTCGACCTAATCGAGTAAGGTAAAATTCGAACCCGAAGAATTTTCAGTTGGTACGGATAAAACTCAAACCCGAATATTGCGGGCAATGGACGGGCATGGTTTCTTACTATCCAACGCGACCCCCCCCCCCCCCCCCCCCCCCCGCGAATATACACATGCATATGTATTTTGTTTATAAATGATCAGTATCTTTCTCAACATATATTCTATTTAGCATACAAATATAATATTTTCATGAAATTGTGTTGTTTGAAATTAATTTTCTTCATTCTAGTGAATTGATGTCATACTTTTTCACTTGTGTGTGTACATGTGTGAATGTCATCATGTTGGTTGGAGGTATAAAGAGAAGTCATTACCCGTGGATACCCGAAACCCGAATGTGTATGTGAATGGTTTTGATTCTACCCGATTCTTATGTGGGTATGGGTAAAGCCCGAACTACTTTGGGTAGGATAAAGAATATGCACTATCCTCCCCCGACCCAGCCCATTGCCATCACTAGAAGCGGTACTACGACGGGGAGGTGACGGCGGCGTTGAGATGTTCCGGGAAGTGATGAGGGATGTGATTCACGTGTCCCGGATGGGTAGCCACTCCTGGCGTCGATGGAGAATGAGAAACGAGTGGCGAAATCAGAAAGTTTCCCGGTGGGGGAACTCTAGAGTAGGATGTCTTGGGCGTCGGTAGAGTGATTTTTCTGGGGACAGGTGATCGGATGGGGAAGGTATTTTTTTATTTTATTTATTTTTTATTTTTATTTTAATGATGTGAAAATATTAAGAATTTAATTTAATTTTTTAATTGTTTTTTTTTATAACGAGGAACACCCTCCACGGTCACCACATTTTGTGATGCCGTAGTCAGGCTAAACCCCAGGACCTCCGCCGGCGGTCCGGGTGATAGCGGGATGCCTCCGGGAACACCATGGTGGCGGTGAGGATCGAACCTGGGACCTCACGGTCACCACAATTAATTTTTTAATTGTCACGTCAGACATTTAACGGTCAGCTGTTAGAGTTGACTATCACATCAGATAAAGTTAACGGAGAGTGACTAAACACGAACCGTTTTACTAATTCAAGTGACCAAAATTGATATTAATTTTTTGCAGTGACTACACATGTTTGATCAAATCCAATGAACAAACTTGGCATATGAGGAATTTGATTTTTTAGGGTAAATACAACTTAATATCCAAACCTTTCGTTTTGAACAATATAATATCCAAACCTTTTCGAAAACAAATTAATAGCCAATCTGTCAACTTTCCGTCCGTTTGACCGTTAGTTGACTCTGACATGTCAAAAATTAAATGAACTGGATGTTATTTTGCTGACGTGTCATGCCACATGGATATTTCTTTTATTTTCTCTTAATTTTTTATTTATATAATCAGAAAAAAATAGAAAAGGGTAAAACCTTATCCATTCTCCATCCTCTCTCTATTCTAACCTTTCACCCGATCTACTTTCCCTCCTCCTCTGTCGAATCCATCTGCGTCAAAGCCCTACCCTTCGCCACCTCAGAGTCGCCGCTCCCATCCTCATGTGAGCGCCGAAGATCTCTAGCGTTGCCCCGGTCGTCCGATTCCAGGCCAGAGCTGTTACGAAGGCGACGACGCAGCCGAGGCGGGGAAACGACGAAGCTGTGGTGAAGCGGATGACTGAGCGAGGTAAGGTTCTTCTGATTCTGTTGTTTTCTGATTTTCTTTCTCCCCATTTGATTGAAGGTTGTCTGTTTTATAGTGGTAAGTGGGTCGATTGAAGGAATCCAGCAACTTGATTGCGAGGACCACAGGGGACCACATAAGAAATTGTCACGAAACTGCCCTTCCATTACAAGGTAAGATAACTGAAGTATTGGGTTAAATCGGCATTGCACTGAGAATCGGACAAGGTATCGAGTTAGGAGAATTTGTCACATACAGCTTTGTGTTTCTTGTTTTGGCATTGCAAATGATTCAATATTTAGATGTTCTATACCATCATGGTGGATTCATGCACTTCTCGGGCTTGGAACCACGATATGTTGGTGGTTTTTCAGAGAAGATATCGATGGATATTGATGAAGTCTCGTATTTTAAACTTCTGAATGTGGCAACAGTTTACTTGAAGTACGTTGGAGTACGAAAAAAAGGACTTGGGCTAATGCTGAGGGATTTCCTATTTATTGTTGATTTCTAGGGACATGTTGAGGCAATGCATGATGTTATGTCGAGTGTTGAGCATAGAAAGTGCTCCTGCCATGTCAATGCGAATTGGAAGGCAAAAAACAAGAATGATAGAATGCGGGTGCTATTTTGGAATGCGGTATATGCATGTAATGAGGCTGATTTTAAAGCAGTCACCTCTGAAATGGAAAGCTATGAAAAGGAGGCAGGTACATCTGAAAAGCCATATAAGGACTTCATGGACCAAGACCGAACAACCTTCTGTCGTGCTTTTATCTCCAGAGTCCCAAAATCAGACTCTGTTGAAAGTAACATATGTGAGAGTTGGAACAATGTCATTTTAAAGCATTAGGAGCAGAGAATTATTGCAATGATGGAAGGTATTAGAGGTTATATGATGGTTCAAATGAGGAAGAAGCAGCGAAAGTATGAGAAGCTGCGAACCTTGTTTTGTCCACAGGCAAGATCCATCTTAGCCGAGGAGGATGTGAAGGCAAGAAAATGCTTGGCACGTGCTAGCTCGAATGACAAGGTTGAAGTCCATATTGGGGCAGCAGCTTATGTGGTTGATTTGGAAGATATTACTTGTTCTTGTGGGGCTTGGCATCTATCCGGAATACCTTGCTGCCACGCACAATCAGCTATGGCCTTGATGAGACTTAACATTGAAGATTTTGTGAATGAGTGCTACCTTGTTTATACGGCTAGAAAGGTGTATGCATATGGACTGCCATGTATGGGAGGGCCACAAACTTGGCCTAATGTTGAGGGATTTCCTATTTACCCTCCGGTTCAAAGGGCAATGCCAGGGAGGCCTAAGAAAAAAAGGAGAAAAGAAGCTGCTGAACTCGAGCCTCGAATATATATATGAATGGTTTGGGTGTGTCTATTGTGAGAGAAGGAATGGTGATGCATTGCTCCAAGTGTCGAGGAATGGGACATAATGCAAGAAAGTGTCCAAACCCAGCCTTTTCCCGACTGAACCAGTTCTGGAAAATGCTACTCATGGTAGGGGAACACGAGAAAGAGGCAGGGGGCAGCAAGGTGGGAGGAATCAAGGAGGGAGAGGAAACCCAATGAACTCCCAAGTGGATGCAAAGAGACCAAAGGTAAGTTTTTAATTTCCTAATCATCGTTTTAAACTATATATTAGATCGACATTACCTAACTATACTACATTCCACAGAGGTCGATCCATTGTTCTAAATGTAAGCAGCCGGGACATAATGCTAGAAAGTGTCCACTGACCAGGGGATTCAAGTAAGTTCATTTTAGCTTAGCACAATCTCTTTGCATGACTATATATTCTTGTGAAAAATATGAGATTGGTTTTGGTTGTCTAGCATGCCAGAATTGAGGTTTGGGATCGAAACCTAGTTGCCAGAGAAGTCAGAACTGCTTTAGGTGGCATTGGTATATATACAAATCCTGACACAGGGAACCAGTATGTCCATGTATGTGAATGTTGCTTCGATTAGTCTTGTTGTTCCATTATTCTATCTAAACTGTAACTAGTTGGTATAGCAAGTGATAATATTTGTTGTCCAATTTCAGTTCCTGAGGGTGGAGAATCGTGGCATTGGTACTTCTGCAGACCTTGTCGGTACCCAGCCAACTGAGATTGACGCGACACAGGGACCAAGAAGTCAGCCTCAGATGGATTGACTGTGATGCAGTAAACGTTTATTAGTATAGCTATAGCAAACTTAGACGTATTAGTTGTAGATTGCACTTTTCTGCTTCTTGATGTGAATGTGAAGCAACAAAGATGAAGTTGAGCTTGTGGTGAAGGGAGCCAATGTAGTTTGATTGGCCTTTTCTACCTACTTTTGCATTTTGTACAGGTTCACTTCATAATTAGACCAGCACCGTTATGCTTCTTAATCTAAATGTTAAGCAGACATACAAGATGAAGGATATTTTGCACACTTGACAAATATGTTAATGTAAAGATGGTATGCAGAATTGACAATGGCAAGTTTAAAACAAGCGTAACTTTGTTGCAAATTCAAACAGGATCTCAGTTTTGATACATAGTCACACTTCTTCACCACTAAACAGTACACAATCACTCACTGAAACCATGAAATTACAACACAAGCCATAACAACTACAAAACAGAACATCAAATTCTTAATCCTACTTTCAAGAACAGCAAACACATTGCGCAAGTTTCTCAGCTCGGTTTCCATTCTTGCGTGATCCTCCTTAGTACTGATCAACTCTTCTAATAGCAAATTTTTAGCCTTTTTCCTTCTTTCTGCCTCCATTCTAGCAACCCTACAGCTCTCATCCATTTTGATTAGTTTGTTCTTCAACTCATCTTCTGATTCCTTCCAAACTTTGGGCTTGTACTCATCAACCCACACGAAGAACTTGCACTTTGCATTCGAATCCTACAAAAAGAGAGTTGAGGAGATGTGTACAAGAGATAACTCGAAAGCCCACAATCTAACCAAATACCCTACCTTCCAGTATCGGCAACAGTAGAACTTTTTTCCCGGATTCTTATCGGTACCAGAAACTTGTAAAATACATGGACAATGGTGGCATATGGTCTTGAATCGTGATACGTGTTGGCCGAAGATGAAGAACCGTCCCTCACAGACATGGTCCCGTTGTACTTCACCAAAGATGTTGTCTTCTTCGCCAAAACTACGTCGTCTACTTCGCAAAAGATCCGGCCTGAGATAACACGTTCAGACCACACTCGCCATGACGAGGGAAGAAGGCGACACTCGCACTGGTCACGAGAGGGGACGAGGCTGGGTTTCGCGGTGACTGGACTGGATCTAGGTTTGTGGTGGTCGATAGGGACGGGGATGGGGCTGGGTTTCGCCAACAAAGGGAGGGGTTTCGAAAGAGGGAGAGCAAAGGAAACTTTCCTTCTCCCCTTTTAATTTAATTTAAAATTTAATTCAAATCTCTAATTGTTATTAGTTGCCACATCAGCTAAATTCAGTATACGTGTACAGTAACTTACCACGTCAGAGTCAACTAACGGTCAAACAGACGAAAAGTTGACAGATTGCCTATTAATTTGTTTTCGAAAAGGTTTGGATATTATATTGTTTAAAACAAAAAGTTTGGATATTAAGCTTAATTTACCCTTATTTTTATTAGACTTTTATCACCTCATCACCAAGGTTTTTTAAAAGTGGAATAAAACCTACTAGTTCAATGAATTTGTTACCCAAGTAGAAATTGCTGGTAGGGCTGCAAATGAGCCAAGCTACTCGCGAGCAATCGAGGCTCGAATCGGGAAAAACTCGTTCGAAACTCGATTCGTTTACTGACGAGCCAAGCTTGAGCCTAGCTATGTTCAGCTCGTGAAGCTCGCGAGCTAGCTCGACTCGGTGGCTTGTTGAGCTCAACTCGTGAGTTAGCTCATTTAGAGCTCATGAGATGTCTCAACATTGTGGTTTGAGGGCCAACTTGATCACTGACTTATGGACTAATCGATCTAATTTGGACTTTCATAATTCATAGGATTGTTAAATTATATATCTCACATCGTGTGAAGTTTAACATGTTGAACATGTAAGAAAATATGCCTTATTTTTAACTCTATAAAGAAATTATGTACAAAATTATTTCGATACTATGAAATAACATGATTTGAACTAGTTAAAATTTATTAACTAAACAATATGATACCTAAAAATTATAATATAAGATTAATTAATGTTGAGCATTTGATTATTTTTTTATCACTACATCAATCACATGTACCATACACGACATACAAAATGAATGTATTAAATACGATCTAAGAATTTAGTAAACAAGCCTAACTCGAACTCGACTCGACTCAGCTCGTTAATAAATGGCTCGGGCTCGAGCTCAGCTCATTTGTTAACGAGTCAAGCTCAAGCTGGGGTAAAGCTCGGCTCAGCTCGGCTCATTTGCAGCCCTAATTGCTGGCAGTGGCACGGCCTAATCCGTGAGCGGAACGGATTATGAGAGTTATATTGGGCAATCCAAGGGCTATTTCATAGTACACCACGACAACTAGTGGAATGCGTTGGAACAGGACGAAACCGAAATCTCAAAGAATCTGAAGTTTTACAAACCAGGAAACCCAGACACTTTCTCAGTTCAATTCTGGTGCAAAAGAACAACTGCGGGAAGAGTGGAAGACGAAAACCCAGATTCAAGCACTGGTCTGCACTCTCTTCTTCGAATTATTCTTCGGTCTTATCTTCACGAAAGCTTTCGCTAGATCCTGAAAGCAGCAAAGAGCGAAGAATCCATAAGTTTCTTGATTATCTTTACATTCGAAAAGGGTCTAATCCGAAAGTAACCATAATATATTGCAAACTTCAGGAGATCTAAATCCTAAAGCCCTTTACTGCATTTGCTTATCTTTTGACCTGGCTAAACTGCTAAGCTCAGGAAAACTAATTCTAAAACAGTAAAACCTTTCACAGGGAGGCAGAGAGAGCTCCGTCAAGGCATCAATAGTGTCTTTGAAGAAGAAATCACTGGTTGCAGAAAAAAGATAAAAGTTGTTGGCAAGTACTGCTTTCCCTAAAACATATTAAAGATGAACAATGCATTCATCTCCCATGAAGACCGCAAACTACTACGCAGATCACAAGAATCAGAATAATGCATAAGAGAAATGCCAGCCATCCATGAAGTCATGAAAATATCTCTAGTCTTTGAACATATTCAGGATCTCCTGATTGAAAGTTGAAACCATGAAACATATTTAGGATCTCCTGATTGAAAGTTGAAACCATGACCGAATGCCAAATTGTTCATGAATCTGACGGCAGTACCTGAGAGGGCTCCTTGTGAGATGGGTCTGAATTCCAGAGGTTCTCCAACTTGTAGTAAGCTCTAGCATTCTCATCAAGAGCATGAACTATCACCCTACCTAAAGAAAGCAAAGAAAAAGGAAACATACAAAAGAAAGTTGCAGAGTAAGTATGAAGCTCCTAATGCATTGCTATTATAGTTCAAGTTCCAATTCAGGCACACAATCAATTCATTTCCCAGAACAATGAACCCTAAAAATGGAGACAATTACCCGAATCAACAACGATCCACTTCCCTTCTTCTTGCCCTTCCACGCTTGGAAGCATCATCCTCTCAACTCCCTTCTGCTTCTGCTTCACCTGCTCAATCCAGAATCCCAAACCAATCACATAACCATACAAAAAAAAATGAAAAAACTTCCCCCAATCCCGCCATCGCTGGAGAACTCCTGCAATTAGGGTTTCCTGCCAAAAGGAATTTGACGAACCTTGCCTTGTAAATGAGGGCTTCGGCGATGTTCTTGACGTGCCATGTGGACCTTCCGGTGGCGATCACCATGTAATCGACCCAATCGCAGCGCTTCCCGACCGGTATCACCTTCACGTCGTCGGCTCGCACGTCGGTGAGGATTTTCTCCACCTCACCGAGCTCCAGCAAGCTTCTCCTATCGCCTCCGCCGTCGTTGCTTCCCGCCACAATTGACGAAGAGCAGAGACCGCGTTGGGAGGCTGGTAAAACTCGCTGCCATGACCGGCGGAGGAGAGATGATGAACTCGATGACCGCAGTGCCGCCGTCAACATTTAGAACCGTGGAACCAGTTTTTGTTTTTGTTTTCCAGGCGGCGCTCTTGACGTTTTTCTTTCACAAGACAAGACGGAACGGAGGCTACTGTAGCAGTATCTGGGCCTGGGCCTTTTCATGGGCCTGGGCTTTGTGGCATGGACTGGAATCCTGAAGCCACTGAGTAGGATTGTCTGAGTATAGGACATTATTCACCAAAGCATATCCTAAACGACATCGAATCGATCAAAACTGCGCGGATTAATCGGTTAATTGCATTCAAAAAAGAAATTGTCCCACGGGCGTTTTGCTTTTGCAGAGAAGGGCACAGCAGGTACGCAAAGGAAGGAGAACCCATGGGCCTCACGTGCAAAGCCCAAAAAAGGGGATAGAGAACATGGGCGAGGCCCCACTCAAAAAGCTTCAAAAAAGGGGGAGGATTGCTTGTGACATAGAAACGTGAGACTGTAAGTCTGTAATTGACCGTAGTGGCTATAGTGCTTTGCCAATCATTTGTTGAGGCTTTTCAGTTCTAATCCCTATTCATTTTTATCTCCAACTCCTTTCTAGACTCTACATTTTTTTAGCCTTTATTTGTTATCGGGCACCCCCAATATTCAAGCTAATAGATTCGATCCGGTGTTGCCGAGTTTTAGGTTGAGAATAAATTTAACCCGTTTTTATAATTAACGCATTGGGTCAGATGTGGCTTTTGTTAAAAATAGTGTTCAACCTAATTCGATCCGGTCCGGTGTTACCAGGAACGAATTTTATCAACTTTAAACAACAAACAATGGTTCAACATGTGTACTCGGGTAGTGAATAAGTGAACCCCGAGAATGAGCAATAGAAACAAGATAGTTTGTCATCTCACCGCATTGCCTTCTTTGTAACTTGTTATATTATCATCTGTCAATCAAACTGCAACAAGGAGTTTCAATTCCTTAAATCATGTGATTAAGATGGATAACTGTAGCCGATTCGAACAGCGTTCAAATGGCTGCTCAAAAATCAGTTTGGAGGACAGCCTTTCGAATTCTCAAAGTCCCATGCACACTTTCAAGTTTGAATCATGGCCGATTACTACCAACTCCCAATTGGTATGGTAGCATTTATAAACTAACTCAATTTGCAGTTGTGAAAACGAAGAGGAGAATGCAATGTCAATATGAAGTGTAGAGCTCAACAAGAACCGATAAAAATAATCACTATATAAAAATAAGCATGTCTTTCTTGATATTGACCTCATAACCAAAATCCTTCAAATTGTGATTTAGATTTGGATGAACGAGGACAGCATCACATTTTTTATTCTATTGTCAATTTTGTTGTAGACGAGTAATTATAGAAATATTGAATAATCAATATTGGTCGATAGAAATTATAAGAAAAATTGAATATCTAACTTGTTAGGAAGCACTTGAATTATCGGGACATGTTGAAATAAAAAAATATCATATCAACAAAAAATTTGAGTTATTGAGAAACGTTCAAGTATTAAATATCAAATCGACCTTCTTCAACATCAAAATAAATTAAACAACAAGAGGCATACTCATACTCTACGGTCTTTTTCCTAAAAAAAATGTTGGATTTTTTCGTTAAAGTGGTTCGAACTCTTAATCTATTACACAAATGCAAAAGTACAATTAATAGTAATCAGGTTTCAGGAAAAATTGAACACACTGCCTTTTAAAAACTGTACGGTACTACATCAAAAACTATTTCATCATGGTTACTTGTATTGTAAACAAGAGAATCGAGTGTAACTTATGTCATTCTCTTACACGCCTCTACTACATATATACACGAACACGAACGAAACGGAAAATTTGTTGTTAGATGTTGAGGCATCATATGCATACCTACAAAATAATTACTGAAAATACAAAGATTGAAATGTTTGAATGGGCTATCTCCATGAATGTGATTGCTATGTAGTTATTTTAGTTTTTAAGGTGAGATGCTTGTGGAAGGAAAGGGAACCTTCTTCTTCAAAACGAAGATTAAAGTGGGGAATGGAGGTTTGCTGTCGATGACGACACTTTGGATGTTTTGATTAAGTTTTGACATATGTGCTGCAACCTACCCAACTAAAACGACATGATTCCTAATACATCCAAGTTTCCATTAGTGGCGTTTTGCCGTAATAACGTTGTTATCATGTTAGGAGAAGGAGAGCAACCAATTTCCTTTCTTATCAACGAATTCTTAATATCCAAAACAAAACACATTGGAGAAGGTCCACCTTAAAGTTACGGTAGATCCAATGGACTACCATGGTTGGATATGACGGATTAGGGCGAGGGATTGGAGGGTTGGATCTTATGAATTGGTTGAGAATGAAATTTGGAGATCACACTGGATTTATGTTTCATCTTAGAGTTCCATAAATTTTTATTTGTTGAATTTGAAAGTTCTCATGAGTTTTCTAGTAAGGTATATAATAGGAATACTTTTATGCTTTGCAAAAATATAAGGTGTCAATTTTGGATTTTATTTTCCAGTACCATGACCAAAATGAACTCTCGCTTCAAGTATCTCTTATAAATTAATGTTTCAATATCCTCTTATCAACAATTCGTTACAAGGAACTCAAAACTAAAAAACTCATTACGTGTGAGAAGAAATCTAAATGAAATCCTTGGTCAAAGTGCATCAAAATGTTTATAATTTAAACACGTAAATGACAAGTTTGGTCACTAGAATTACTAATTTGTTTCACACGTGCCACCACACATACTATAATCCATTTGTAGTCATTAAGATTAGTTTAGTAGCCCTAGTTTGGTCACTGGTCGTTACCATCTGTTAATCTCCGTTAACGACATCAACTTTTTTGCTAATGTGACAAAAAAAGCTTAGTCACCCCATTTTAGTCTAGAAAAGTTTATACCGACCTGACACGACATATAAACCCAACCCAACCCTTCCTCGTTGACTCGACCATGCTCTACCATCTTCCATTGCTCAAAATTAAAACCTCACCTCCTCGACCTCCTCTTAGAAATATGAAGATCCAAACGAATGAAAACATTTGTCATTGATGTTGCACTTCCGATGTCGATGAGCCTGGATTCTCTTTCTACTACTACTACTACTACCTTCCCCTAGTTGCGCTTGCCACCTAGCTCTCTATATTACCCTATACTTAACAAGTGCTCCATGACGAGTTTGAAGGGTATTTACTCGCCATGTTAAAATAAATTGACTACCTGTTTCTGTTATTTACGCTAGCAAAAAACTGACGCCATTAACAAAAGCTGACGAAAGATAACGACTAGTGATCAAAATAGGACCACTAAACTCATCTTAACAGCAATGAACAAAATCAAATATTTTGGGTAATGTCTATTTTTTATCCAAACTTTTTTCAGATTCTTTTATATTATCCAAACCTATTAAAATGCTATTAATTAACCAAAATTTCGTAATGCATCAAAATATTAGCCATTTTCACGTTATCGTTAATAATTCATGTGTCTCTTTCAAGTAAGTATCATGTTGCCAAGTCAATATTACTAACAAAATGGCTAACTGGAAGTTAATATTTGACTAATTCTTAGGATTTCGATAGGTTTAGCTAATAAAAAAGAATTCAAAAAAAATTTAGCTAATAAATAGTAATTACCCAAATATTTTTAAATATTTTTAAACGTAAGACAATTTAGTAATTTCACCAACTAAAATCACAATTTAGTAAATATTTTTAAACGTAAGACAATTTAGTAATTTCACCAACTAAACTCGCAATCTATCATAATTTCAATATATGCATTACTCTTATGATGACACTTTCTTGTACTAATGTACTTACACTCTTGATTACAATACATGAATGAAAATTGTCCGTTGATTCTATGGCGGAAAAGGGCAACAATCAGATAGAAAAGTGTGGGAAAAGCGAAAAAAGGATAGAAAG